GCAGGCCCCCTGCCGCAGCAGCAGCAGCAGCAGCAGCAGCAGCAAGGGGCTGTCACTTCTTAGGGCCCTCACTGAAGCCAGAGGGGCCTCGCGCCTTCGGCGCTGCACAGGAGACGCTTTGGTGGCCTACGGGCTGCCCCTCTAGGCGCAGCTGTACGTACATCTGAAGCTGCAGATACACCTGAAGTTGTGCATACACCTGAAATTGCAGACACACCTGAAGTTGTGCAGATACACCTGAAGCTGCACATACACCAGAAGCTGTGCATACACCTGAAGCTGAAGATACACCTGAACTACAAGAAAGTGTCAAACAAGTTTTTTTTGTTTTTAAAGGGCTCATCTGTGACGCCCTGAGGTGTACATACACCCCGGATGCTGCTTGCATGCGCATATAAAGGAGTTTTAAGACTATTTTGCTGTTGTCTGTACACCTGGAGAGCTGCCTGTACACCTGAATAAGTGCCTGTACACCTCACGCAATGCTGCTGCTGCCGACTCGATGAGTTTCCGTTTATTTGATTCAAATTGAAGGAAACTGCGAAGTGAAGCTGCCACTGCAGCAGGTGGCAGCTCCTGTGGCAGCAGCAGCAGCAGCAGCAGCTACATGCGCGTAGTTGCAGCTAGCTGCAGTGCGTTGCGGCTGTAGCTGCGGCTAGCTGTTATTAGCTGCTGCTAGTCGCGGCTATTTCGGGCTGTGGCGGCAGCTAGCTGCCGTTATCTGCAGCTTGCTTCAACTAGCTGCAGCTAGCTGCAGCTAGCTGCCGTCGGCTGTAGCTAGCTGCGGCTAGTTCAGGTGAACCGCAGCTAGTTGTTGCAGCTAGCTGCTGCAGCTGGCAGCTAGCTGATTAGCTACGCAGCTTGCTGCAGCAAGCGGCCATTTGTTGCCACTGGCTGCAGCTAGCTGCAGCTGGCCGCAGCTAGCTGCTGCGAACTGCAGCAAGCTGTCGCTAGCTAGTAGCATGTTTGCTGCTGCAGCAGCAGTTTCCATGAGTGTCTGGTGCTTCTCTATTTGCTGCAGCGGCGCGGCCCCTTTGCTGCAGCAGCTGCAGTCCCAAGGTGGCCTGGAATTGAATTTGTGGGGCCCAACAGCCTTTCTTAGCTTCGTGGCCTAGCGGCAGCAGCAGCAGTAGCAGCAGCAGCAGTAGCAGCAGCAGCAGCATGCTGCAGTTGAGGCTTAATGCGCAATGCGCAGGCAACTACAGCATTAAGTGGCACTTAATGAATAAAAATTAATTATTTATTCTAAAATAAATTATTTAATTTGCTTAGAAAGATGGCTGGGGGCTCCCGCCACGCAGACACAGACAAACACCAACCCCCCCGCTGCTGCTGCTGCAGCAGGGCGCTGCAGCAAAGCTGAACTTTGCAGTTAAAGCAAATTTAATATTTTATTTTAGTTTAATATATTTCAAGCTCAGCTGCAGCATTTGGTGCCTCTTTCGACCCAACGGCTGCTGTTGCTGCTGCTGCTGCAGTTGCAGCAAAAGACACACCACCCGCATCGGCAGCAGCAAAAAAGTACCTGCAGCGGCAGCAGCAGCAGTAGCAGAAGCAGCAGCAGCAGAACCAACAGCAGCACACTTTTGTCTTTTCGCTTTAACCGACGTAGCGTACAGCCTAGTTAGTAGCAGCAACCGCAGGAGATCCAGCAGCAGATCCAACCGCAGCAGCAGCAGCAGCAGCAGTTGCGGCCGGCTTTCCAGTACAGCTGCTGCTGTTGCAGCTTGCAAGGGACCCACAGCGTAGGGGAAGCAGCTTGGGGGCCCTTCTCTCTCCCAGGAGCAGCAGACAGCCAGTAGCAGCGGCAGCTGCAGCAGCAGCAACAGAGAGCGCCAGCACTCGCTGCAGCAGCAACAGCAGCAGCAGCAACTGCAGAAGCAGCAGCAGCGAAGCAGCAGGAAAAGCAGCAGGGAGCCAGCTGCAATGCTTCGCGCCCTCAGCATGCTGCGGCGCCGGGAGTCTGCTGCTGGCTCTGAGAATGTCAACAGCAGCAACTTCAGCAGCAGCAGCAGCAGCAGCAACAGCAGCAGCAGCTTCCATGACGCCATCGCCGGCAGCAGGGAAGCCATCAATACACTCGACAAACGCCATGCCCACATACTTCGCAGGGCGCAGGTAAACCCTAAACCCTAAACCCCAAACCCTGAACCCTAAATCGTAAACGCTAAATACAGCTCACTTACCGTCTCCAAGAAAGGCCTCCACAAGGTGGCAAAGCCGTTGCAAACTAGGGCCTAGGGTTTAGGGTTTAGGGTTTAGGGTTTAGGGTTTGGGGTTTAGGACTTCTCGTTAGGGTCTAGAAGTAGCTTCCTGTGAGGGAGGCGAGTGGCCTGTTTAGGGCTGGAGGCTTGGAGTTTAGGGTTTAGGGTTTAGGGTTTAGGGTTTAGGGTTTGGGGTTTGTGTCTAAGGCGCAAAGCGAGGCGGCGCGGGCGTGCGTAGCTGCTTCGGACCGCAGCGGGGCTTTGCTGGCGCTGCAGCGGCGGCGTTTGCTGCTGCAGCAGCAGCAGCAACTTGCTGCTGCTCGTTTGGCTTTGGAGAAGCAGCTGCTGCAGCTGGAAGCAGCACAGACGCAGCGGCTGGCAGTCTCCGCCATGGCAGCAGCAGCAAACGCCCAGAAGGAAATCAGCAAACAACTGTGAGGCTCTTGCTGCTGCTGCTGCTGCCAGTGCTGCTGCTGCTGCTGCGGGCGCTGGATGCTACCGCTTTTGGTGCTGCAGCAGCAGCAGCTCGGCGTTGCCGCGCGTCCGGCTGCTGCTGCTGCTGCATTTGCTTGTGCAAGGGTTTTGCTGCCGCTCTTGGGACTGCTGCTGCCGCTGCTGCTGCTGCTGCTGCTGCTGCTGCTGTGGTGCAGTTGGTATCTCTGATGCCACACACCTTAGCTATGCGTTTTTCTCACGTGAAGTGTGCGCCTGCTCTTGCTGCTGCTGCTGCTGCTGCTTCGACTGTGGCTGCTGCTGCAGCAACAGCAGCACCGTTGAAAGGCTCCTAGACGACATGACGGAGCAGCAGGAAGTGCAGCAAGAATTTGTGGAGGCGCTGCAGCAAACCGCCACGCCAGCCGAGCAAGAGGCACGCATTCACTTGCCAGGGTTTAGGGTTTAGGGTTTAGGGTTTAGGGTTTAGGGCGGATTGAGGCGACTTCCTGCTTTCGTGGCTGACGCACAATCTTTGTGCTGCTGCTGTTTCTGCTGCACCCCTGCCACTGTCGCTGCTGCCCGTGCTCATATCGCTGCTGCTGTTGCTGCTGCTGTTGCTGTTGCTGCTGCTGCTGCTGCAGGTTGAGCTGCTGCAAGAACTGGATGAGTTGGAAGCACTTGAGGTGGAGAGACGGCTGGTGGACCCTCCAGGTGTATCTGCACTTGGCCTGCAGCAGCAGCTGCAGCACACGCAGCAGGAGGAAGAGCTGCTGCTGCTGCAGCAGCAGCTGCAGCTGCAGCAGCACCACCAACGCCTCTTGACTGAGCCACTGCAGCACCACTCCTCGTGGCAGCGCACAGAGGCAGCAGCGCACCAGCAGCAGCAGCAGAAGCAGCAGCAGCAGCAGCAGCACCAGCCTCCACGCGCCTCAGCGTCGTTCCGGCCTACAGGGATGCTGCTAGAGCAGCTGCAGCAGCAGCAGCTGCAGCAACAGCAGCAGGTGCCTGGCATGCAGAGGCAGCAGAAAAGGCTGGAGCAAAGGAATAGTGAACAGCAGCAGCAGCAGCAGCAGCAGCAGAGGCAGCCTAGCAGCAACTTGCTGCTATATGAAGACGGGAACTGGCGTGAGCAGCAGCACACAGCACAACTGATGCGGCTGCGTTTCCAGAGACCTTTGCAGCAGTAGCAGCAACAACAGCAGCAGCAGAGCAACAGCAGCAGCAGCAGAAAGAGCAGCAGAAGCAGCAGCAGCAGCAGCAGCAGTAGCAGCTCAAGAAACCTGCCTTGCGTGCGTGTGGTTTGCAGCAGCACCATCGAGCCGGCTCTCCACGGGAGTGAATTCGCAGCTGCAGCAGCAGCAGCAGCAGCTAAGCGAAGAAGCCAGGCTGGGGGTGCTTCTATATTCTTGAAGCGGCAGCAGCAGCAGCTACTGCTGCTGCTTCAAGAGGAGACGCAGCAGCCGTGGAATTTAAATGTTTCTTTTCTGTTTGTTTTCAAAGTGAACTCGAAGCTAGGCGTAGCGCATGCAGCAAGGAGCAGCAGCAGCAAACAGCAGCAGCAGCAAGCAGCAGCAGCGCCAGCAGCAGCAGTTGCAAATGTGCTGCTGCTGCTATTGTGTGTATTCACGCCAGGACCGTTGCGGGGCCCCTGCCAGTGTCTCTTTTGCCCCCTTCAGCAGCAGCAGCAGCAGCAGCTGCCGCTGCAGTTGCTGCACTGCTGGATGTCTCTGCAGCTCACGGCCTCTTTCGTAGGCCTCTTGTGACTACCAAGGCTCTCTAGTGCTTTGCCTGCTGCTGCTGCTGCTTTTGCTGTTGCTACTGCAGTTTGTGCTGCTGCTGCTGCTGCATTCGTTGCTGCTGCGTCGCTGTTTGTCTTTGTGGCTGGGCTGAGGTGTATAGACACCTGCTGCTGACAGCTGCATTATTTAATTTGATTTTTTTCTTTGCTTTTCAAACCCCACAAACACGGCATATTCGCGCGGCAGCAGCAGCACGCAAGCAGCAGCAGCAACAACAGCAACAGCAGCAACAGCAGC